GGGCTTCTACACGTGAGGTAGGGATATTCTACACCTTAATATGGGTTTTAACCTAGTTATTTGTTGTTATATATAAATGGTGAGATTTGGGGATGTTTTGAGTAAACCTAGGGTTTGGATTTAAATTGAGAAGAAGGGTTTCTATGTTGTACTATATAAATGACTATGGGGTTTTGGTTATGAAGTTATCTTGTATCAGAATAGTGGATTTTAGCCTTTAGGTTAATATTTGCAAAAAGGGGAAATTTGCCCTAATATGTTTTGGATAATTATTTTGTATAAATAATGAAATTGGCATGAAAATTATGAAATTGGGGGAAAGTATAGATGTATGGTGTAGTTGGATTTATTTAATCACTTACCTGTGAAAATGTGATGAATGATCTGTTATAAAGATTGAATATCTGTCTAGAAATATCTGTATCGGGCTATCGGTGGAGGATAGCTATGATTGTTGTAGAAATCGCATGTGGATTAGGTGAATTGAAACTAAACATTTAATTGTGACATTGAATATGACGGTATGTTAAGGCATTGAATATGTGTAGTCGATACTCATTGAATATGATGGTGTTTTTAAATACATTGTATATGTATAATGTTTTGGAAGGAGAAAGAGGATGTAGTCCATCTTTTGGGAAGAGATAGGGGATGGACTCCATTGAAATTAAGTTAGCCGGAGTGTCCAGGATAAAAGTCCCAAAATCATATGTATACATGGGTGCCGATCCCGCAGACGAAACTTCTGTGAAATGACAAGTATAATAGTTATGTTGATTGAGAACCACTGAGTTGTAGTCTTAGTTGGGTTATTTGGAAAATTATAAACTTGGCCTGTGAATTGAAATGAAATGAATTAACTTGAAATGAACAAATGGAAATGGATTGAGATATGAATGTTGGTACCGCGTGGTCATGTGAAGAATGTGCGTTTGTCATAAATATTGAATATGTCTCTAACACTTATATCTTAGTTAAATCTCATATATTGTGATAGACTGTCTCTACTGGGTTTTGGCTCACCCTACTTGGGAAACCATTTTTAGGTACTGGTGACTTGCTTCTTCCAAGGACGTAGCTTGGGAGGTCCTAGGTGTTGGAGGCTCTATTGTGTGTTTTGTGTTTAAATGTCTATTCAAGCCAAAGGCTTATATATATGGATAGAGCTTATGACTCTCTTTTGTTGGAACCAAGTAATGTCTTGGAAAGATGTAAGCCCGTGGGGAATTTATTTTGTGTTATTAACTGGTGTTATATGCTATAGATTCAGGATGAACATTTATGAATGTATATTGCATGTGTCATCTTTTGTAATATAAACTCTAATGAATGAAAATATATTAACTCTATACTGCTAGTTTCTCTTATGAGTTGGATTATTTGTGTTATTTTGGGGGCGTTACAGTTAACAATAAAATTTTACTCTTGCACAGAGTAAAATTTTACACTATATTAGAGTATTGACAAAAACAAAATGCACTAAAATAAAAATATATACATATATACAGAGAGAGAGAGAGAGAGAGAGAGAGATAGAGAGAGAGAGAAAATAGAGACATAGAGAGATAGAGAGAGCCATATATTGTCTTAGATTTGGTTGAAACCAGAGTTAAATTCTACTTTCTAGAAAACAGAGCATGATGAGGAGACAGAGAGAAAAAAAGAGAGAGAATATAGATCTGAGATGATGGATCTCAAATCTAAGGTCATCAATCTTAGATCTGAGGTCTTGGAGGCTAAGGATGACGATGGTGGTTACCCATGGTACAATGGCGTCGAATGGCGCTGGTGGTTAAGATGGTGGTGGTAAAACGGTGATGGTGGTGACTAACGGTGCCGGTGGTTGAGATGGTGTTGGTGAAGATAGTGGAGGTAATGGAAACGATGGTAGTTGTGGTAGTGGAGATGGTGATGGTGATGGTGGTGGTGATGGTGTAGACGGTAGTAGTGGTGGTGGTGGTGGAGAGAGCTGTTAGAAAGAGATAGAGAAAGAAAGAGTTAAAAAAAAGATGACAAACTGATAGAGAGAAAGAGGAAAAAGATAGTCTGTATGAAGGGGTAAATTTGTCACATAAAATATAAATGTGAAAATTTTTGTCCTTTTACAAGATTTCTTTATTTTGGAGGAGTTTATAAGCCAAAAAATTAGAACTTGTCATTTTTAAGAAAAACGGGCTCTAGGAAGGAGTTATGGCCAAAAATCCCATTATTAAAACCTAATTTGATAGTAAAAAGGTCATTTTAAAATTTATATAATTTAACCATACAACCAAATATCCATCAAAATTAGTTTCAACTTACAAGATGTAATATGTTCAAAATAGTAAGAAAAATAATAAATTACATTAACCTTTCTTAAAATTTGGAGAAAATATAACAAATCTTATAATTTTGATATAATTATATTAGATTTTTTTAGGTTTTTAATGTTGTAATTAATTTAACACTTAACTCACTTTTCATTAATTATCCATTAGTCAAATAGATGGAAAATAATATTGTCATTTATTTTACAATAAAATGCACATTATTCATCATTTATCCTTGTGTTTTCATACAATTTGTATTATTTTGGATTCTTTTTGTCATATTAGAAGAGAGATCAGTGTAGCTATACCAAAACTACAGAACTTGCAATATATTCATTAGCATATGAATTGAAAAATGAGTATTTAATTGTATCATGTAAGTTATTTAAATTTTAAAATGACTTTTTGGCCATTGAGAGCTTGTTTGGCATAACCTACAGTATCATACTTTTTTTTTTTTTTTTTTGGTTTTGTTGACAAATAAATGAAATTTTATAGAAAAAGGCATCAAGGTGATGCAAAAGAATACAAAAATGAGAAAATCAAAATAAAAAACTCTTAACCAATCAAGTCATCCAACAAATCACACATCTGGTTCCACCCTCCCACTAACCCAACTATACAAAACAGTCAACAAAAAAATCTGCCGATTACGCTTCAACCATATCAGCCACATTATGCACGAAGGAGTAAGAGCCCACGCCTTTTTGACGCCGCCGCTCAACCTGATCCCCAGCCCAACTCTGCAAGACCTCTAACACACCCCGATGTTGAACCCAAACCACACCAAAGACAGACAAAGTCATCACCCACCACAGCCCAATTTATTAACTGATTCATTTTTCAATTGTAGTATTGTTATTTTTTCTAATTGTAGTATTGTTCTTATTACTAAAATAACAAGTGACATTCTTTTGTCAGGTCGTTCCTTATCAAATAGCATTATAAATCTTGGCGTCCGGGACCAATATGCTGCTGCTCTAAGCCAGCTTGGTTTTGAGTTTGAAGTCTTGGCCGAGCAGGTTGGCATTGTGTGATTTGTTCTCTTGCTTGCTCTGCATTACGCAACGAACGTATTAATATGGTGGATCTATGGAGTGCTTACGCAACAATTATTTGAAATTGCTCTTGTTACCTTTGACATAGAGGATTTAGTCGAGAAGATGTTATGACCAAAAGAAAGTAAAACCTCAGAAGTTTTAAATTCCTTGGTGAAGTGTGTTGAAGGTTGAGGATTTTCCAAAACTTGACAGATTATAATAATACATTCCCTAAACAATCATTTTCAATTTTGAAACTCTAATTTTATATATATATATATTTAAATGCATGTTAATATATTAATTTGAGGATGCTTTTGCACATTAGTTTTACTTTGCAATAAAAAAACACATGTTAGTTGTTTGGTTGAGATTTACTACCTTACATGTGAGGTTGCCACTTTGCAGTGACAGGAATTTAGGTTCAGTCGAAGTTCTGATTTTCCTGCATTTGTGTTTTAAAATTACCTCTTGATATATAAAGAAACTCATGTTTAATGCAAAACATGATATTCTTTTGTTTTGAATCCCTGAAATGAGAAGTATGTATCATGTTAATTGTCAATCTACGAAGCATAGTTATGGACACAGTATACATATTTAAAATGATATGAAGATTCTGACAAGGCAATTTCTAAACAGTTAGGACACAAACATGATGGATACACGGCCATAAACAAATATTATTCATTTATTTGACATCACAACTTAGTTTTTATCCATCACTTGAACTTAATAAGAATTAATTCATATTTTGTGTCTATGTGTTGGAAAGAAGTCGGAATGGGAAGTCCTGAAGTCTTACTTTTGGAAGCATTGAGTATTCACAAACGAATTGAAGTGTAAATGTTTTATTTTTTGACCCCATTTTAATTTTTTTCAAAGTTGTGCCTAAATCTTGGATGTGTCTCACACGCATCCAGATGTTAGATTGGTGTGTCCCACCTGTATTCGAAGCATGTCTAGATTAAAAAAATAAATGAAATAATAGGACAAGGTTTGGGCAGGTGTCCAACATGTGTACATTGGAACTCATTTTTCACATTTATATGTTGAAAACAGAAGTGAAATAGAAATTCCTGAAGTCTTACTTTTGGAAGCCTTAGCTGCTTGTAAAATTTAATGTATAAAGAGAAATAGAGAGAGAATAAATTGTATGTATTATTGATTGATGTATTGAATGTTACAATGATTCATATATATAGAAGAGTAGGTGGTAGTAGGTGGTAGGTGGAGTAGGTGAAGTAGGTGAAGTGGAGGTGGTAGTGGTGTAGTGGGTTAGGTTTAGTGGAGTAGGTGAGGTGGTAGTGGTGTAGTGGGTGAGGTTTAGTGGAGTAGGTTTAAGTGGGTGAAGTAGGTGATAGGTTTTAACAGCCCCCCGCAAACTCAAGGGGGATAGGAACTAGCCAACTTGAGTTTGGAGAGAGTAACAAAACAAGAAAATAGACGAATACATAAAAGAAAAGAGGATAGGAGACACTGTACGGTCGTGTCAGACCATTGGTGAAGACACTGGATGGTGGTGTCATAACGTTGTAGAGGACACTGTATGGGGGTGTCATAACCATGTAGAGGACACTGTATGGTGGTGTCATAACGGTGTAGAAGACAGTTTATGGGGTCATGTCGGACCGATGTAGAAGACAGTTTATGGAGATACCTGCACATTTAGATTGGTTTGGATGGTGCACTTGGGATGCTTTCTACTCTGAAGTCGATCCTAAAGGAATCAAAGAGGGTCTTGATAGGTACAAATAGGAAATCTTACATATTTGAGTTCAAAATGCTTGATTTTTTTTTATAGTTGTACTTACAATTGGGTGAATTTTGATGATCTTTTACAGTTTTTTGGAAGGCGGATGTACGCCAAAAGTTTTGATCATCGATGATGGATGGCAAGACACAGTCAATGAATTCCGTAAGGAAGGCGAACCACTTATTGAAGGAACACAGTAAGTTTTATACTATCCTAAAATATCAATCTGGTAATCATTTGAATCCATTTCCTGATCATTTCATATGCCATATTTGTTGATCTACAGGTTTGCAACTAGATTAGTAGACATCAAAGAAAACAAGAAGTTTAACGCCTCAGGCTCGGATAGTTCATGCGTTGATCTCAAAGAGTTTGTTGAAGTCATTAAAGAAAAATATGGGTTAAAGTAAGGGCCATCTCTCACACACAAAACTACATAATTTCTAAGTTTAAACCGACCAATTTCTCAGCTTTCAAACATTTTCC